ATAATACCCAAGTACTCTTCTACGCAAAAAAGTAACAAAATATTCTTCTTCCGAATAGATTTCTAAAACTTTTGCTACGAAATATTTTATTGTATTTTTTTGTTGCAAATTTTACCAATATGAAGTCGGTTATTGCAACTGCCTTAAATAAAGTTAATTTCTTTAAGTTCTTCACGCATCTGTTCGTAGATATCCGTTATGTCAGATGAGCCAGATGATGCAATAGAAGAGGAATCGATATCTGAATCGTCAGATGCATTATTTTTGTCCTGTTGACATTTTATAACTTCTTTATTTTCTTTCCAATTATTTTTTTTTCACATTTTCTTTTCCTGTTTTATTTTCGCGTCTGGCACAATCGTCTTTTACCTCTTGCATGTTAAGTGTATCGGTTAAGATTTTACTTTTTACTGGCTTTCTGCAGGAGTTTTTATTGTTAGTTGAGGAGGGACAGGTGGATTTGCGTTCACAGTTTCTTGCTTTTCGGGGGGTTTTTTGTTCTTTAAAATTTGATGGTCCAGGGTGATTTCCGATCTCTGTGAGCTGTTCTTTATTATTTGAGGATTCAAAAACGGCTGCTTCCTTAGAAAGCGTGGATAAATCATTTTAATTCGGATTGGGTCGGTCTGTTACGAACGAAGTTATAAAATCTATATCAGTAAAGATATTAGTATTAAACGGCCATATGCCTGTCTTTAAAAATCCACTTATTATATTATTTGGGGTGAAAGCTCTTTGATGTGCTTTACCAACCAGGCCAGCAATGTCTTTCAACGTAATTGTTTGACCTAGATGTGACACCATAAAGTTATCTGATTCCTGATTAAAGTAGGTTTTGAACGGCCCATAAACAGAAACATCCAACGGTTGGAGTTTGTGGCTTGTATGTGGCGGTAGGGTGAGTAATGTAATTCCATTAAATTTGCAAATGTCAAGCCCACAAGCAGACATGTGACTTCGGTGGTTGTCCAAAATTAGTAAGATTTTATTTTCCTTTGAAGGTCTTCTGAATTTTATAAAATGTAAAAGGTACTTTTCAAAGTTCTCCTCCATCATCCAACCGCTTAAATGTGTTGCTACTCCAGAGCTCGAAGGTGCGCCTAATGTCATGTAATCTTGAATGTTTTGCCTTGGAAAGATAAAAAATTGAGGTATGAAGTTACCAGATGCGTTGACAGCACAACAAACTGTAACAGTTGCTTATCTTTCTGCTGAAGTGACCTTTGTGACATGCTTTTGACCTTTCTTAGAGATTATCTTTCATGGTTTATGGGCAGTTTACACGCCAGTCTCGTCAAAATTGTATATCGCTTCAGGGCCATATTGATTGGGTTCCACACACATACTTTGATTTTCTTTTACTATACGGAGAATGGTCGCACTGCGCAGCTTTCTGAGTGCCTTTTAAAAGGAGATAGAAAACTCCGCCATTTTGATACCTTATTACGTGTTGCCTACATCTTGGCGCAATATTTTAAATAGGTGCGTTTTAATCATCCGCTTCTGCTTCGGAATTGTTGGTTTTCTTGTTTTAATAATCTGACAGGTTAAAACGACTAAACCGACAATTCCGAAAGCAGAAGCGGATGATTAAAACGCACCTGATATTTTGCTTGCTGCTGTCAGTGTCAGTGAATATTATTTTTGGAGTCACAGTTTATTGCTAAAGAATCAGTTAGCTCACTCGGACCAGTTGAAAGTTCCAAAATAACATCGACTCCAGTGATACAAATTCAGGATACGCAGAAGACTGCTGTTTTATTGTAGGCGGTTGCCATATATTGTATTATCCGAGTTGCGCAGTGTATAAACTGGAACATTGAGATCAAAAGTGCCGACGCAGAGTGAGCAATCTGATTCTTTAGCTATAAACTGTGGCATAGGAATCAAAATGGCCGCGCCCTATGTTGGGCATATCGGACCTCTCTCTTGCACCGTATAGTAATCAAAGTATGTGGTTCCACAACATTTCACAATAAATTAAAAAAATTCTGTGACTATGTGCTTGTTAAATGCTGTTGAACGACTAAGGCTAGTGGTTTCAGGAGTTCTAAGTGACAGATAGCTATTACGTGACATAAATCCTCGTAACCAATCGTAGGAAATTGTTTTCATTTTAATCCAAACATCGTCTATTTTTATATGATTTTGGTTAGCAAATACCTAAGCCAGTTCCTTTGTTTCCTTGGCTGTTAGTCCATAGTTCATATTACTTGATGTTAGTAAATACTCTCCCAATAGCTGCTCCTGAATGTCGCTAAATATTTGTTTTGTTTTATAATTTGGAGAAAACAAAACATTATCAGATAAGTCCTCACGAGATTCATTGCATTTTTTTATATATCGGCTCAAGGTCATTTTATCAATGTTGTACTTTTTAGCCGTAGTTCGAAGCATTGCTTCTTCATCAGTGACCTCTTTAACTGCCTTTTTCATTGTTTCTATGGATACAGAAATCCTTTCTGTCTTTTTGACCCACTTAAATGACATTGTGGTTTTGAAAAGACATTTTTAGTTAAGAATTTAACATTTCTAATAAATGGTTGCATTTTGTAAATCTTAGGTTAAATTTCGTAAAACATGAAAAATCCTTTTCCTACGACCTCATAGGAAAACTAAGTAAAATACACGGTTTTCTGCTTCAGAAAATAAAACTTATCACAACATTTTACCCGTGTCTTTATCTAAATAAATGAGGTCGGGAGGTATGATACATTTATGGGAGGAATGATACATGTATCATCCCTCTCATATGAAAAAGTATCATAGCTCCCTTATAACAATGTGTTCAGAAAAAGGATTCTTTTCATCTAACCACATAACCTATAAATTGCGCAAGCCGGCTAATATAATGACAAATTTATGTCGAATCAACTGAATACAACAAATTTGCACAATACATAAACAATTTGTAGAAATATGATTTCTCTTACCTTATTAAAATTATAATTTTTTCACTAAAAATCTTGTTTATCGTCACTGTATACCGATAATGTCTGCTATTTGCGCCAATTTCACCCAAGCGACTACTGAACGGCTAAACGGTAATTTAGTAATGCAACGGAGATTATATGTTTCTGTTGGCGGGAGTTTTAAAAATGTATCAAGGCTCCCAGAGTATCAAGGCTCCCTAGTTTCCCTTAATATCACTAATATTTATTTATTCACACTAACAAAAAATTATTAATCAAATTAATGTACTAACTGAATGAAAAAACCGAAAATCAGTAAAAGGCGAAAAAGGAAAAAAGAGAAAAAAATTTGTTAACGAATATTAAAAAAAAAAAAAATCCATCAACACCAAAATGGTAACAGACAAAGAAATAACTATATACAGTATGGTTCAAATGAAAGGAATAAATTCATTATAATGGAAGTAGTTGGTTTTTCGAAAAAATGCTCAGACAGGTCAATTTTGTTTACTTAAAGCGCAATTTTTTAAATAGAATTCAATTTTCCCCCACTTCCCATTTTTGGGCAGTGACGTCATTGACAATTTTTTTAAATAGTAACCCCAATTTTTTTTTTGATTTTGATAGATCTTGCAATTTCCTACTCGGAAACATAATATTTGTAATATCTGACATAACAATTTTTTTTGAATAAAAGTCATTTAAAGATCAGATACATAAATTTTATTTTATTTTGAAATACAATAAATGAATAAAAGATAATTTGTAATTAAGTACTTCATCTAAAAAAAAAAAAATAATAATAATAAAAAGAATTTAATGACAATTTCACAAATTCTTTTTTATTATTATTATTATAATTATTATTATTATTATTATTATTATTATTATTATTATTATTATTATTATTATTATTATTATTATTATTATTATTATTATTATTATTATTATTAATATTATTGTTATTTTGTTAGATTAAGCACTTAATTACAAATAATTATCTTTTATTCAATTATTGTGTTCTGAAAATAAAATTAAATTTGTGTCTATTCTTTAAATGACTTTTATTCAAAAAAAATTGTTATGTAAGATATTTCAAATATTATGTTTCCGAGTAGGAAATTGCAAGATCAAACAAAATCAAGAAAAAAAAAATTGGGGTTGCTATTTAAAAAAATTGTCAATGACGTCACTGCCCAAAAATGGGAAGTGGCGGAAAAGTGAATTCTATTTAAAAAATTGCGCTTTGAGTAAACAAAATTGACCTATCCGAGCATTTTTTCGAAAAACCAACTACTTCCATTATAATGAATTTATTCCTTTCATTTGAACCATACTGTATAATATAAAACACACAAAAAACTCAAAAAACTCACCATAATCTGTTATCCACTAGAGATTAAACTACTGGGTTATAATCTTGGAAAAATAGAGGCGAACTGAACTATGATTACTTTTTTAAAATGCATTGATGTTTGTCAAGCGTTAAAAACATATAAAAATATAAAAATTAAAACGTTACTTGTTAAAATAACGATACTAAAAATATTAATGTGCCTACATTACAAAGTATTTTTATTGTTTATATAAGAACAAAATGGAGACTGGCAATGAACATTGAAACGGATTGAAGGATTCAATTTTAAAAAATAATTTAATTTTTTTTTGAAAAATGCATTTATTTTCATCATGATATTTCAAAATTTAAAGCCCTTTCGATTTTTTTTCTTAGAAACTGAAAATAATTAAAATTTTAAAATATAAGCATATTCTAGATATTATTGCCTAATTTATTATGCCAAAATTTTAACTTTTAAAAAAAATTACTTTTTGAGATATGCTTGTCCGAAAATTATAAGGGGGTGCTGTACTCACCTTAATATTTGCGCATTCAATATGAGACCGATTTGACAAAATGGTGCTAATAAAAGTATTATTTTTTTTGTTCTCAATCTTCTTCCCCCTCATTGTAACATCACTGGCCAAAGCCAGACTTACAGTAATGAGTTTTAGTTAATAATCTTATGACAACTTCATATGTGGGTTGCTCCGACTACAGTTTTAATGTATGTAAATGACTATACTTACAGATAAGAGCAGGAAGACATCATCTTTTTTAGGAAATTCTATAACTGGTGAATAAAAGTTGAATTTTTTAATTGTAAATTTAATTCTTGATTCTGTAGCATTTGTGACCATTATTGGATTTCCTTCATCTTGGAGCTAAAAAAATTAAATAAATACAATACAGGATGTCCCGTTAGTGTGTAATTATAGACACAAAAAAGTTTTAAATAAGAATTATATGGATTTAAAAAAAATAATATTTTAAAAGTATTTTTGAATATATATTTTTTTATATTTTTTATATCAGTTGCAGAATAGTCTAGTAATACTGTATTTAACGTTAAAATATTTTTAAAAAATATTACAGGGTTGCCAAGCAATTATTTATTTTGTGAAATTTCAGAACCAAAATTAAATTATCATAATTTAGGTATGTTAGCAATTATTTCAAAATTTTAAATACAGGCTTATAATATACCAAGCTAACGAATAGTGGTGATAAAACTGGTTTATTTTATATAAAGTGTTTTGAAACATGTCTTAAATATGGCAAAGAACTACCTGCAGGGTGTTTTGCTTTAAAAGAGTATAGGTTTGTTCAGCACCTCGTTTATGGACCACCCTGCATGTTTAAAAATAACTGTTAAATATTGTCATACAATTTTATATAAAAATTTCTTCGTATTTCCAATAATAAAATAGCTATCGATCAATTACGTACTGTATAATATGTGTTATTGGCTATATTATATGATAAAATAATATAATGGGTGTTGCATTTGAAAATATTGAGTAAATTAAACTTAAAATTAGCCATATTTAAGATAAACTCTGTATAAACTAAATAAGTTCTATCACCACTATTTGTTAGCTTAGTACCTTATAAGTCTGTATATTAAAAAATTTTGAAATCAATGTAAATCTACCCAAATGATGATAATTTCGGGTCTGCACCATTCTCTAATTTCATAAAAAATTAATTGCTTGGCAAACCTGTAATGTTTTTTTAAAAAACATTTGGATTGAATATGTTATTACCAAACCATTCTAAAAATAAAATACAAGGTGTTTTATTTAAAAAAATATAAATTTTTATTTGTCAGCTAAAAATGCAACACTCTGTTTTCCAAAATAATTTTTAAAATATGTATTTTTCAAATCTATATAACTTTCTCGTTAACTATAAAAAAGGATAGTCATAGATGCAGTTCAGTAAACTTTACATTCTTTTAATATTATTGCCAAATTTTAATAATGAATGTTGCGTACTTTTTAAACTGTGCACAAATAACGATTTAATGTAAAATTTATAATTTTGCTGCGTCCATATTGAATTTTAGTTTAGGACCTAAGTTATAGGTGTCTGATGGAGGAACAGTAGCAAAAGTTTCGACGCCGTGTTGCCATGTCTTAAAATTGAATTAAACTTAGAGGAAAATATATTATTATGCATATTTTCAATTTGCAGAAATATAAATTATATTTACAGGGAGACTAATTTTTTACCGTTTTCTTAATAAGATGAATTTTTATTAAAATTTAGTGCTTTGTCTAAAATCAAATACTTAATTTAAAAATATTTAAATTTAAAATAAATGCCTTTATACGATGAAAATCAAAAATGCACTCAAGAGTTAAGTGCCCTTATTTACACTTTGCTAATTGAATACACTCATGTAAAGTATGAAAAGATTTGTGAAAAAATTGGTTGAGGATGTAATTTTCTAAAGTATGCTTAGTTTTTTCTGAAAATAAAGTACGAATTCGACGAAATTGGCATGGTTTAGTTATGCATTCAATATGTGGCCAGAAAACACAAACATGTAACATATATGTCGTATTTTGGATATTTTGGGCATTGTTATGACAAAACACAACATTTAACACTTGTAAAATTTGTTAATGCAATATAGAACAACAAACAATGTTAACAATGCTTTAAACGACGTTACACAAATAATTGTTAAAGAAATACGGATAATAATACGATATCAATTTATTAATAATTAAAGAAATGATACTAGTGTTCCGGAGCCAGCGTATAACCGCCCAATTGATCACACTTCTCTAATCTGTTAATATATTCTCCTTCCTTATTTTTTACCAACATCCTGCCGACTCCGTTCCGCCCCCCCCCCATTTTTGTAAACTCAACACTTATAAAAACCAAGTAGAACCTTACAACTTATATCATTGAAAAACCGACTACTGCAGAATCAAATTTCTTAAAACTATAAACAAAAGTTAAATATCGGCGCTGCCGACATATATGTATCATTTACATATACTAGTTCCGTGTTATAATAACAAAGTAACTTACATGTTACATAATAACTCACATGATTACTGTGAAAAATTACCTAATTTTGTTATATAGCAGGTTTTTCATAGGTGATGTAATGGGTTAAGTTCCTACATGTAAGGAAAACATGTTGTATATCAGAAGACTTGTAACATTTATAATATCACTGTAACATTTAAAATGCTTCATTATTGCCTCAAATATCCATTACTTTTTTATAGAACATTAGTCCTAAAAATATTACCTATACTAAATCACGAGATTTTTTAAAACGTTCTTGAGAAATAATTCAAGAAAGATTTCTTTAGAAACATAGTAGGGACGTACCATTTATGTCAGATACATAGAAACATACATAAGACCTAAATGGGATGTTTCTGGCAGATCAATGTTATTAGGGAATAATAAAAAAGTTTTTCATATGGTTCCAACTTAAGTAGACACTGTATGACAAATACGTCGAAAATATTTTTTACAATACAGAAGAATGTTATAAAGTTATTCTGAATTAAAAGTTATTATCAAATATGCAGTTACAGCAATTTAGCAATAAAATTTAGGTTTGGTGATTATTTCATTTATAACTACAATTAAATTATAATGTAAATCGTAAATAATCAGCTAACCCTAATATTCGTGACTGTAATTGCACATTTGAATATAATTTTAATTTAAAATATCTTTATAACATTCTTTTGTATTGTAAAAAATAAAGGTACTTTTACTCTTGAGTAAAATAAACATTTTTGACAAACCTCGTATACGGATTAAAAAAATTGATATCTGATGGTTGCATTTTTAGTTTTGGATCATGCAAAACTTTTTATTAAAAATACAAATTTTCAAAAACCAATTAATAAAAAAGTTTTCCTTATATTATTCCAACTTAAAATGACATACCTACAAAAAAAAGTCGGAACATATTTGAAGAATAAAGGAAAGTAATTTAAACGTAATTGTTAGATATATGAATAATTTTATTGCACAAATTCATAAGCGAAACCAAAAATGTATTAGTTCAACCATTATGTAGAAATTGGGGTAAATATACCAACCTATTTATAATAGATTATGCGGAGTCAGTACCACCAACATATTCTTACAATAAGTATTTATCTCAAGTAGGACCTGCAAACCTAATTAGACAGCTAAATATTTAATTCCCCATAAACGAGAAAAACCTTGCTAAACAATTGGTAGATTGCCTATCGATAGTTATCTATAAATACGCAATTTTGACAAATCTTTTCCACTAGACCAACTTAAATGAGAACATAAAATAAAAGTATGGTTGCTTAACGTATTTTGCTTAACGTCTTTTGCGCTATAATGAACCAAATAGGGAGGTTTAAGAGTGTAGATACATACATCTACGTAGGAAAGGACTAACTAAAATTTAAATTTAAATCATATTATCAAAAACCGGAAGTGCTGTGGCATCCTTAAGGCTGACGTCATATTATTGCGTCTCGATCCGATTGGATTAATTTGCGGACAGTTGAAGAAACAGATACGACGTAGAAACAATTTTCCAATAGATGTAAAAGTTGTTAAGCTTCTAACGATGTCCCGGCGAACACCGCTAATGATACGCTCATGGTTCCAACAAGTATAGTTTTTACAAAGGCCTGGTGGATATATAAAGCCCAACACGGCAGTCTAGCAAGGTTTTGACTCGAGAGGGTTCCTTATATATCTACAAGGTACTGACTTGCCGATAATCCTCCTCCCTGTTCGTCAGGGTATTGACCTGTTGGATACAACCTACCCGGTGCGAAAGGTACTGACTTTCGTACCTTCCTGTATCTCCCGTCCCTAAGGTACTGACTTAGGGATACTTCGTTCCGTTAATTGAGATAAAATAAAGAGGAGATGCTATGACGATGCTAAATTGTCCGCATCTTTGTATTACATTTTGATGTCAATGTCAAACTCGAGATAGTGTAGATAGTCAGTTTTGGTGAGAATAAATAGCTTCATATAAATGATATAAAATCATTTTCTACCTCGATATTACCGTTTAAGGTACTGACTTGAACGAGCGTCCAGACCCCTCGACCGTTTCATCGTAGAGGCCGGCCAAGATGAGATTGGTACAGCCACGTGCTCGACCCTGCGCGAAGGTGTGACGTCAGAGGCAGAGGCGGACGTTTAGTAATTTGTATTACCTTTTTTATTTTAAATTATGTATTATGATTAATTACTAACTAGGTACTATGATGTGAATTTTATTCTAAATATTTTTTTTTTATATATGTGTGTATATGTGATAATAAAATAAGACAATATTAAAATACTTATATATTACAAAAAGACATATAAATAGAGACACAAATCTAATTTTCGTCCGATTCTAAATCAGAGAGCTGTTGTACTCATAAACTTACATCACTGTCTTCATCCTCTGACCAACTTTCATCCGATGATCCAGTATTTACTGTAAACCTTAAATGGTCCATTGTGGAGTCCAACAAATGTTCTTTTTTAATTTGTGTAGCTTCATATTCCTTGACATGTCGACAAATGTTCCCACTCTTCTACTTGCAATGTTGCAAACCTTTCTCGTGTTAAGTTAAGCATTTTTACCAAATTTCACTTAGTTATCTTTAAACGTTTAGGAAATATTTACAAAAGTGTGTCATCAGGACTTCACTTTTAACACCCTGTATCTCGGAAAAGAAACGTTTTCGGACATATGTTTATATGAACTTTTATTCCTATTTTATGATGTAGATTACGCTGTTAAAATATGACCGTCTAATTTCGGGACACCCTGTATATATAGAGGTGAAGCTACCTGTGTCAGTCCCTATTTTGTACGCCTGTTTTGGCCATGATTACCCTTGATTTGATA